AGAGAAGCCTGCGTCCCTCTGCCCTGCCACCACGGCACCTATGCTAAGCATATTATAGACAGAAGGACGTCCATCTGCCTATGTAAGCTCTTGTCTGTTTATTCTCGGGCTCTGTCCAGTTAGTGACCCTATCACTCCTTTGCTCCTTCTTCATTTGAGGACTATGGCTGTGAACTCTATTTCTTCCTCTCTGCACACATATAGGCTACAGGAGGAAGTAACAAAAATCTTCCCCCACACCCAGAGCTAAATATTTTTTGCCCCAAGCTGAAAGTTCTTTAGTGAAAATGCAGTTCAAGGCCATGGATGCAGGAGAGAAGCAGATTTGTTGGCTGCTAAAAGGAATACCTGTACAGTTTTGTCTAACAGCACCATCCTAACAGCATTCTGATTTGTTTTATTCTCCATTTTTAACACCTTTGTTGATGTATAATTTACATACAGTAAACCACATACTTAATGTATACAATCTTGTTTTTATGTACACGTGTACTCGAGAAACCATCACCACAATCAAGATAATAAACATCCATCACCCCTTAGAGAAACCACGTTACAATCCTTCTCTCGTGCCCCTACCTACATTCTCCATTCTAAGCAACTGCTGATCTGCTTTCTGTCTCTGTAGATTAGTTGCATTTTCTAGAATTTCATATAAGTGGAGCCATATAACATGTACTCTTTTTTTGGTCTGGATTCTTTCTGTCAACATAATTATTTTGAGATTTACCCATTTTTTGCATGTTTCAATAGTTTATGCCTTTTTATTGCTCAACAGTATTCCATTGTATGTGTATAACACAGACTGTTTATCCATTTGCCTGTAGACGGATATTTGGGTTGTTTCTAGTTTTTTGTTGTTGTTCTTAATACCAATAAAGCTGCTGTGAACATCTGGCACCAGTCTTTGTAAGGATATGCACTTTCATTTCTCTTGGGAGTGGAGTTGCTGGGTCATATGATACGTGTATGTTTAACTTCAATGGTGGGCTCAGTGGCTTACATCTGTAATCCCAGGACTCTGGGTGGGCAGATTGCTTGAGGTCAGGAGTTTGAAACCAGCCTGGCCAACATGGCGAAACCCCATTTCTACTAAAAATATAAAAATTAGCAGGGCACGGTGGCACGCACCTGTACTCCCAGCCAGTTGGTAGGCTGAGGCACGAGAATCACTTGAACCTGGTTGCCAGAGGTTGCAGTGAGCCAAGAAATCATGCCACTGCACTCCAGCCTGGGCAACAGAGGGAGACTCAGTCTCAAAAAAAGAAAAAAAAAAAAAAATATATATATATATATATATGTTTAACTTCAGAAAAAACTGCCAAATTGCTTCTTCAAAGTATAGCATTTAACATTTCCACAAGCAGGGTGAGAGCACCAGTTCCTCAAAACCCTCACCAACACGTGATATCAATCTTTTAAATTTTAGACATAATGATATAGGTGTGTTCTGGTATCTCATTGTAGTTTTAATTTGCATTTTTCTAAA